TGTGCCATGCTTCACATTAGTCTATTTTTTCTTTTTTAGTCTATAAAAGAGATTCTTGAAAATGACCCCGTCAACAGCTTCTAAACATCATACTAAGCATCCCGTACCACCACTCCCCCTCCTTCTTCACTTTTCCAACCTTAAATGGACTCCCATGATAGTAGGAGGCTCTGTGGGGGAGGGGACCAGAAATGGCTAAGACATTTAACTTTTATTCAAGAGACTCAAAGTTGAGTGGCAGAAAGAATCCAGTAGAGGCCTAGGTACTAGAAGGTCTGGGACACCCCACCCCCCTTGCCTACCCTGTGTAAGTGACACTGAGACCTCATTCGCACTCTGGCTCTGCTACTAACTAGCTGTGTGGCTCTGAGCAACTCACTTGAGTTCTTGGGGTCTCTGTTGGTAAGTGAAGGCTTTGGATTAGGGATCCCCACATTTCCTTTATTATAAAAGTCCTTTGATTACCAGTGACACACTCAAGTCCCATTTTCCTCATCTTTAAAACAGGGACAGTAATATCTGTTTGACCACTCATAAAGATGGGGTGAAGTGTATGTGAAAAGCTTGGTGAGCCTTAAAACATAATACAAATGTCAGTTATCATCATCATCCTTAGAATTCTTTATGCAACTCTCTCTCTCTCTCTCTTCAGAGTAGAAGCCTCTCTTTTTCTAGTCTTCTACCATTTCTGTTAAAGAACAATCCAGTGCCTTATAGGAAGTCCCAAAATTCAGTCCTTGGTTTGATGAACTAGGAGGCAGATGTCAGCTCAGGGAGATGTTGCAAATGACAGTGCTATCTGAAAGTTCTTCTCAAGGAAGTGGGCTAAGGCTTCCATTGGTCCCCAGAGAGAGATGGCTTCTTAGAGATCTTATGCAAGGGCATGAACAGAGTTTACTAACAAACTTGTGTTCTCAGACAGGGGTTTACCCAGAGAATGAAAAAGCCTTGAAAGTTCCAAGGGCAATTAATGGCAATTTGAGGTGCTTGTCTTTTGCCTAGCATGTGCGTGTTTCCAAGTCTTCACTGACATTCACTCATCAGTTCTCCCAACACTACCTCAGCCTTTAGTGTTGCCTTTGGGGTGCCAGAAAGGGATATTACCTGAGCTTTGTATTCAGAGAAAGCCCCTGGGCTGAGAATGACATTTCCTCTGTCCACACCTGGTGATTAGGTCTTCCCTGTTACCAGTGGCAAACCTTCTCATGTCTGGTCCCCTACTACCAGGACTCCAGTGTTGCCTTCCCAGGGCCTTGCCCAGCATCATGGTGTCAGAACTGGAATGACTCCTTAAAGACTCGCTGCAGGGGCCAACTCCTTCTTTTATGGTGCAAGACTGAGGCATTCAATCCACCCAGAGGGGAAGTGAAACACCCAACGCAACACAGCTAGTTAGAGACACAGTAACCCCTCTTAAGAGACAAAAACTAGAAACTATTCTCCACTCTCACACCTCCATACACCCTAACAAATTAAACACTCTTGGTGTCCCTTGAGGAATCAATAATGCTTAAACCTGAGGGGTACTGGGAAGAGGAGAGACATCATGTATGTGTACCTGATCACCCAGCACGGCCTTTGTTGCCATCTCTGAACAGTTGTCTAGGCAACAGTGGTGGCCCATCCTATCCTAAGTTGGAATGGGTCATTCTTGAAATAAAAGTTGAACTTCCATCATTCTGGACAGAATGAGTGAAGATGAAGGGCTTCCTCCTTTTCTCTCATCCAACACCTAAGTTACCATAAGCCCATAAGTACAGGGCTTTAGGAAACAGAAAGTTGGGTTGTGAGCAATTATAATGTGAAATTAAAGTGCCCATTGTGGTCCAGAAGCCTGGGAAGCTACAGATACTACTTACTCTAAGGTAGAACATAATGTCTTTTGCCAAGAACACAGCTGGATCAGCTCTGTGTTTTTCACAGAATAGGCACATAATAAATATTTGTGGATTGATTTGATGAGGAAAAATGCCTGGCACTTGGATAATTTTCCATTTTTCAGCTTCTTATTTTTTAGTGTTTAGCAAAGGTGCAGGTGGCCAGTGTTTAATACATCTGGAAGGAATGTTGATGATAGCGGCTGTCATCTATATTTCCCAAACTGGTCTCTAAGTAACACTGCTTCTGGGGTATCTTGGGGAAAAAAAGCTCTGTGTTTAAATAGGTTGGGGAATGTTACTTAGCTTCCTACTCTGGTCTCTCAAGATGCTCAAGACTCATTAGTTATTAAAAATACTGAGAAAAGGGGCGCCTGGGTGGCTCAGTGGGTTAAAGCCTCTGCCTTCGGCTCAGGTCATGCTCCCAGAGTCCTGGGATCGAGCCCCACATCGGGCTCTCTGCTCAGCAGGGAGCCTGCTTCCTCCTCTCTCTCTCTGCCTGCCTCTCTGCCTACTTGTGATCTCTGTCTGTCAAATAAATAAATAAAAATCTTAAAAAAATAAAAAAAATAAAATAAAATACTGAGAAGAGTTGCCCCCCACCAAAACCAGCTTTAACTTCGTTAAAACAATTTCTTTCCACGTTGGTTTGATTACGTCCCTTCCACATATTTCTCGTGATATCCATTAAAGTCCCACAAAATTAATGTTCTTTGGAAAATACCTTGGGAACTATTAATTGAACCTGGTTTTTGAATTTTACTGGTGACAAAACAGAGGTCCTGAGAGTGGTTGAAGTTCTTACAGGTAGCTAGTGGGGGGACTAGGACTAGGATCCCATTTCTTTTTTGCCTGGTTTAAACTGGTCAGCCACACCCAGCTAAAGGAGTATTCTCAAAGGTGGGTCCTGGGACACCAAACATTATGTATAGAGATGATGGGTAAAACAGATATGAACATTTTACTCCATAATGGGTTCTTTTGGGATAATTTGCTAAAAGCTTTAGGTTGTTTTAGCTGCTTTTAAATATGGGTAATCATATCCCACTCTTTTATTATCTCATAGATCTTGGGGTGCTTGCCCTTTGCAGCCTGCATATGCCATAGGTGCTTAATAAATGTATTAATGAATGAATGAAGGAAGGACAGAACCAGAAAAAGTCAGAGGACGTGGGTGGCAGGGAGGAGGAAGGAAAGAATCAAGAACTGCAAAGGAGTGAGAAAAGGAAAAAAATGTGGAGAAAGGGTGATGGGTGAAAAAAAGGAGCCAGCAGTTACTGCTCAGTGGGGGAGCCATGAGGCCTGGCAGAGAAAAGAAAAGAGACAGCTGCAGGTGATGGAGAAAACAAAAACAAAACAAAACTGAGTGACCAGGAAGCTTTGTTTTTAAAAAGTAAAAGTGAGTCATAAGGCTAATTCAGATGCTGGACATGCCAAGAGGCTCTTGCCCAGGAGGTGAGAATGAGCAGGAAATGCTGAGAAACTTTGTGAACTCAGATCAGGGTACCTTTATTGCGCCAGTACAGGAAATGTGCAAGGCACCTTCTTAAGACCCACTATGATAACAGATGAGTAAGACAGGAATCTTGCCTTCGACAAGGTGACAGTTTAATGGGGAGGAGAGTTAGGACAGGTACTCAAATAACATAATGCTCGGCAGAATGTTTCAATATCCCCAGAGGTAAAAGTCATTACTGGGGGGAATCAGGAGACAGGAAATTCACATCAAGTCAGGAGGCTCAAGAAGGCCTGTGGGGTTGAGCCACGAGGGGTGGCTAGGATTTTACCAGGCAGAGATGGGGGATAGAGAGGCATTTCAAGCTGATATGATAAAGAACCCTCAGGAGGTGGGGAAGCGTATGGAACAGTGAGAAGTCCAAGTGGGTTCCAGCCAAAGACATGTGTGGATTGGGAGATTGTGGAGACAGGACCAGAAAGTCTTGAAAGTCTGAAAGGCCAGAAAGTCACACCATGGGGCCTTGGATGCTTGGCTGAGGCGCGGGGGCTCCAGGCAGGCAACGGGAAGCTACTGAAAGGGGTTTTTGTTGTCGTTGTTCAGAGAAATAATACCATTAGAGATGACTTTCAGGCAGGGTGACTGGGCAGAAAGGGGTTAAGTCGAGGGAAGGATCTCCCCGGTGGGGGAGGAGGCAGTTTGGTTGCCAAAAGACCAACAGACCATTTAGGTGTTGCACATCAGACAATCAGAAAATCTGTCCAGAGATAATGGCTGAACCCTTTCCCGAGAGAACAGACAGCAGAAGGTTCTGGTCATTTCCTCAGGGGATAGGGAGGGAGGAAGAATTAGAGCACAAGAGAAGCCAAAGAGAATGCAGCCAAGAGGAGAGACACCAACAACAGCCAGGCGGGGTACAGGTTTCAATCAAGAAGTTAGAGCCATGATTGAGAACCCCAGTCCCGGAGCGGGACTGTGGGAGTTTGAATCCCAGCAGCCTAACTAGTCATGATTAGCACAGGGACTTCAAAGAGTTTTTGAGCGTTTGTTTCTTCATATATGAAATGGGAGTGATTTCTATCTTCAAGGGATGCGGGCTTTCACTGAGATAAAGTTCTTAGTGTACACAGTAGGAGCCAAGGAGTGAAGAGGACCCGCGGGAGAAGCAACTGTAGAGATTAAGGTTGTTCGCTTGAGGAGCATCTGGAAATGGAGGAAAGGGACCCTCCAGAAGCCCAACATTTAGCCGGGATCGCTGACTGCGCTGTGAGAGGAAGGAGTGAGCTGGTCAAGGCAGCCTCAGCCGGGTCCTCACCCCAAAGCACAGCCCTTTCGCCAACGCTTCCATCCTGCCACGCCTCCCAACCTCCCGCCCCCAGCTTCCCGCGGGTCTCCCAAGCCAGCTAGTTCCAGGACCCCGATGCGCATGCGCCTTCCGGCGCCCCTGCTCAGCTTTCCACGTTTCACTTCCCTCCCTTTTTTCCTCCTCAGCTCCCGCTCCACCGCCGCGATTGGCCAGCGGGCCTCCTCACTTCGGCCAATAAACGCCGCTCTCTCGCCCCCGTGTTACTGGGTAGAACAAAACAAAAACAAACAGAGCGAGAGGGGGCTGAGACGCTCTGAGGCGGCGGCAGAGGCTGAGCAGCGGGTCTCGGCCGGCGGACCGGGGACCTGGGCGAGCAGTGGCGACGGCGGCGGCCCGAGGGGTCAGTACCAGCGGGGCGGCTCGCACGCTCAGAACGACTGCGCTCTCTCCCTCAGCCCCCGTCTCTCCTCGGAGGCAGCCGCACGTTGGGAGGGGGAGGGGGCCCGAGACCGCAGCAGGCTCTGGTCGGGGCCGGCTCGGGTGGGCGGGGGTCCGGCCTCCTCCTCGGAGCCCTGCAGGCAGGCCGCGGCCGCCCAACGCCCCGGGATGCGGAGGGCGGGCTCCGGTTCCCTCCCGGGCCCAGGCCCGGAGCGCGGAGGCGCGGGCCCGCCCCCTCCGGGACCCTCTCCCGGCTGAGCAGAGTGCGCGGGGCGCTCGCCAGCGAGGGGCTGCTCCTCATCCGCGCTAAGGCGGAGTTCTCATTTTTGCTTGGAGGGGGGACGTCGGGAGGCGTGTTTCTGGCGTGACTGAAATCCTGTGAGGAAGGTTCGCGCCCTCCCCGCCCTCCTGGTCTCCCTGGAGGGCCCCGGCCCAGCGTTCCCAGACCCCGGCCCGCGCTCCGGAGCCCAGGCCCGGCCGCTCTGGTCCAGCATCCCCCGGGGCCGGCCGGGACTGGGGCCCGCGGGGTCCCGGCCTGCGCCCGCGGCGGGGAGGAAGGCCAGCCGCCGCGGGAGGGGCCGCTGGGAGGCGGACACGTGCCGGCCTCCCCGGCCCTGCGCGGACTTCGGGCGAAGGGTCGCTTTTTCGGTTTAAGTGAAAATCTCCCAGGGACAACAAAGACGGGAAGGGAGCCCTCTTTCTGTGAAACGCAGGCCGTTTCTGCCGCATTCGTCGGTTTGGTGCTGCAGTGTACACGGGGAGGGGTCCTGTACCCCCCCTCCCCGCCCCGCGCTTCGAAAACTGCAGAAGTCGGTCTCTCCGGTCTCGCATACCCTTGTGAGAACTGGCAGTGTGACCATCAACTGTGCAGTATCTGCAATGATTACAACGATCAAAAATGCAGCTTCGTGTGAACAAAAAGTCACCGCCTGTTTTTACTTGTATTTTTACTGTTTTAGAATTTTGGCATTCTTATAAGTAAGCCTTCTTAGACACCACCGTATACTTTTCTAAAAGGGGAGCACTGCAAATGCGTTTTAAGTTTAATTATTGGTATTTATGCCCTTAACTTTCCTTCATTATAGGTTTCTTAAATTCCTTACTATTTCAGCAGCGATCTTTGAATTATATTTTGATTGGTTCTTCTGTTGTAGTAATGAAAAGAAAAAATAGTTGCTGGGTGTGCAAAAATAAGTGACACTTTGATGTCTTCTGCGCAGCTTTTGCATCATCGTGGTTGAATACTTTTAGCTGATTTTAAGTTGCTAATTAGCTGTATTGTAGCCCTGGAATGAAAACAAATAATTTTCTGGTTAACATATGGCCGAAACTTGACTAGAAACTGTCAGAGTGGTTTATGAGGTCTATTTCAGGAAACAGATTTTTGGAGTGGGGGCTAGTGGGAAGGGGAGGTTCTATCTCCTGGGGAATGTCATGGCATGTGAATGTTTCTGGTTGTATATTTCTGTAAAACCCATTGAAGAAATGAAAACTGTTTAACGTTAGCCTAATTTTGTCAAACTTCTATGAATGCTTTTGTTTTCTTATGGAAAATTTTATTGTTTAGTTTCAAGGATGTGGCATTTAGAATTTTTGCTTTATGTAGTTTGTTAAGTGTGGGGCAAAAATCTTAACGGATTGTTGAGTAACTGGAAAAAAGCTCCACTACCTTGAGGAAAGGAAAAACATGCAATGTATTTTTATCTTTCTCTAAATTCTTAAAATGTCTGTGTTGCTATCAAGTGTGACTGAGTTCTTGATTGCTTTATCATTGCTTAAAAGACACAGACAAGCCCCCCCCCCTTAGGATTACTAAATAAAAACAAATATGGTAAGTTCTAGATAATAGTCATACTTAATAATTTTCTTTGCCCAACTGAATGTCTTTTGTGTAATAGTTTAAAATAAATATTATTTTTAGTGTTTGGAAAGTAATATTTAAAGATTTGATATAACAGTAAGAGTCTGTGTTTTAATAAGCTTCTGTCTGTTAGCCTTAAAACAGAATCTTCTTGTGGGATATTAAAATCTTACATTGAACTTGTGTGAGCAGTACTGGATTGAGAAGGTCTGGGTTCTGGTTTTTCCACTGAGCACGGTCTTTGGACAGATTATCTACCTTCTCTGAATTTTAGTTGTGTGCAGAGTGGAGTAAATAGGTCAAGGTTGTTTTGAGACGGACATGAAATAATGCCTATAAAATTCTCTGTGAAGTATAAAAGGCTTTATAAACACCAGTTAAAATAATTTCATTTCCTTTAGTAGCTAGGTTCTGCAGAAAGTATTGACAGACTTCAATGTAATTCTAGTTTAAAAAGCTCATACACACATCATAAGACATTTTCACTGTCCTATAATATGTAACTCATATAAAATGAAATATACGGCATTTTCAGACATGAAAAACACGAAGTGCCTAGGTTTCCAAACTATTTTTGCTTATATATTTATATAAATCTCTGTATGCATATCTTTAACAGTAATTTTTTCCCCTAAATCCAGAGTTGATGGAAATTATGATATTGAAAAGTCATTATATAGAATTAAGTAAGTCTGTGTATTCTGAGTAGAATTAGAATAATCTCACCATTTTCTTAACTTCTCAAGTGGTATGATAGCATCCTGGTAGCCTAAGGATTATGCCTTACTAAGTTTTATCATGGTTAGCATTAAGGTGTGTGTATTTTTCTTTTACAAAATAATACCCTTTTCTGGATCAAAGGACTATAAACCTTTTAGATGTTAAAATAGTAAATATTAAGGAATTTAAAAGTTAGTTGAGGGGTGCCTGGCTGGTTCAGTTGGTGGAGCATGTGACTCAATTTCAGAGTCATGAGTTCGAGGCCCACATTGGGCCTAGAGTTTACTTAAAAAAAAAAAAAAAAGTTGAGTCCCAGAAGGCATCACATATTATTATTAAGTAATTTTATTAATTTATATTAATATATTATAATTATTAATAATTATTTATATTTATTGATATTGTTAAGAAAATGACATTTAAAATAGGTTGTTATATGAGAAAGGTATGCTTTTCTGCAATTAGTTTATTAGTCATTTTCATTAATTTGTGCATTTTATATCTTGAAAGCATATTGCTAGTGAAATGATTAGGAAGGTTTATATATAACCTATATGATGTGAACAGATCAGTGGTTAAGTACTGTAAGCCACTATTTTAAAAATATTTGCAGAGAGATTCTAAAATCATTTGGTTACACCTTCTGGTAATAGTTTCCATGAAAATATATTTTTATAGTCTTTCAAGTAACAGATTTATATCACTAAGGTAAATAAGAGGTAACTGATTTCATCAAAACCTTCAGCATTAATAATTAAGCCATTTTAGAACTGAGCTCTATAATACTGAGATGCTAATGTCATTGTACTTATTTCTTTTTTGAATGCAAGTTTTTTTGTTTGTTTACTTTTTATTTTTTAAAGAGAATGGGGGAGGCATCTGGCTGGTTCAGTGTGTAGAGGATGCAACTCCTGATACCAGGGTTATAAATTTGAGCCCCATATTGGGTGTAGAGATTACTCAAATATAAAATCTTCAAATTTTCTTTAAATTAAAAGAGGAATGGGTTTTTTAGATTATGAAAATAATATTCTCATTGTAGAAAACAACATTTACAAAAATTTCTTCCAATCTCAAAGTCTTATAACTATAATATGGACACCTAGGTAATGAAATGGCAGACCTATCTGCCTTCAGATATGTTACAATGTGAAAAACTAACACAGTCATGTCATATGCTTGATTAAAACTGTTGCTTGCATTTTGTAGTAGTTCTTAAAATTCATTTGTAGTGAATTAGCCAGTATTAATGTATATCAGATTAATTATGAAGCCTGGTAGTCCTAAAAAATTTGGAGTATGTGTATACTGCTTTAATTTTACTTCCAAATTAAAGGGATGCTTTGGCACACTCAGAAATTTTTTTTTTTTTTTTTTTTTTTTGGACAAAGGTACACTTGTCAGGAAGATTGAAACCAAATGTTAATAGTGGTAAACTATTTTTCAAAATAAAGAGAACTCTTTTTCAAAAAATGAAATTATGTGCTTTTTTTTTTTTTACAGTGATTAAGTAAATTCAATTTATTAATTATATCAGTTTGGAAGATACTGAAACTTTTTTCTTTTTAAGGAAATAGATCCCAAGGAAAGACTTCCATTAGTAATTTAATCAGTGCAAGCGACATTAAGGAACTATGGATGTAGAAAATGAGCAAATACTGAATGTAAACCCTGCAGGTAAGCAAGAATATTTTGAACCTTGACTGTACTGTGAGCATATTTGAGGTCCCACAAAATTTTATGAAAACATAGTATTAAAACCATCTTTTTACTTTAAAACCATCTTATTCATGCTTCAAGAAAGTGAATTATGTTATTTTTAAAATCAAGTTTGGGATTCTTTTTTTATTTAAATATTTATTTATTTGAGAGGGAGAGAACAAGCTGGGGGAGAGGGGCAGAGGAAGAGGGAGAAGCAGACTCCTTGCTGAACTAGGAGCTCCATGTGGGGCTTCATCCCAGGACCCTGGGATCATGCATGACCTGAGCCACCCAGGTGCTCCTGTGATTCTTATTTTTATGGAAATTCTTCACATGTCCTTATCTTTCTGCCCATCCTTTCACATTCCATACATTCTTATTCTCCACTTTTTATAATAAACTGTAAGGTACAGAACGGAGAAGAATAGTAAACCTGTTCACTGATATTTTCAAATGAGCTAGTGATTTCTATAATACAAACTGTTACCGGTGTTTTCTATCTCTTTCCTTTTTTTTTTTTTTAAAGATTTTATTTATTTGACAGAGATCACAAGTAGGCAGAGGCAGGCAGAGAGAGAGGAGGAAGCAGGCTCCCTGCTGAGCCCGATGCGGGGCTCCATCCCAGGACCCTGAGATCATGACCTGAGCCGAAGGCAAAGGCTTAACCCATGAACCACCCAGGCACCCCTTGATCTCTTTCCTAATTAATAATTTATATGTTATATTATCTATAGTATTTTTCTTGATTTTTCATGGTGCTTCAGTAGCACCTTATCATAAAAATAGTTTTGTGGGGGGCATCTGGGTGGCTCAGTGGGTTAAACCCTCTGCCTTCAGCTCAGGTCATGATCCCAGGGTCCTGGGATCAAGCCCCACATCAGGCTCCCTGCTAGCCTGCTTCCCTTCCTCTTTCTCTGCCTACTTACAATCTCTATCTGTCAAATAAATAAATCTTTAAAAAAAAAAAAAAAAAGTTCTGTGGAATAGAGGTTTAAATGTTGAGTAACTTCAGAAAACTTAAAATGTATTTATAACTTTCAGAAAAATCTTACATAGGATTTTGAGGTATCCTGAATGGTGAGAGCTTTTCCTATTGGTATGTTTTATCATATTTCATTTTTTTTAACATTTGATTTATTTATTTGACAGATACAGATCTTAAGTAGATACACAGACACAGATCTTAAGTAGGCGGAGAGGCAGGCAGAGAGAGAGAGGAGGAAGCAGGCTCCCTGCTGAGCAGAGCCTGATGCGGGGCTCGATCCCAGGACTCTGGGATCATGACCTGAGCCGAAAGCAGAGGCTTTAACCCACTGAGCCACCCAGGCACCCCCATATTTTTTAACACTATAATAGTTTTATTTTTTCAATGACTCATTCATTGTGTACAGATTATATAGTTTTCTTTGATCTGAACAGACACTTTGAAGTTGAAACCTCTTTGCCATTTTGTATTTATACACCTGATTTAAAGTGTGCTAGAAAATTATAGTTGAAAAAGATTATTGCAATAATTAATGATTATTTTGGTGCTGCTATATACAATAGCTATGTGAATACTTGTTTTTAGGGTTATAAATGGATATCATATCCCTGCTTCATTGAAATGGGGTTGGTAAGAATATATTTTAAGAATATATTTCACATATAGATAATTGCTGCTTTTCTGTACTGCCCATTGTGATAGCTACTAACCACGTGTGACTATTGAGCACTGGAAATATGACTTGTCTGAAATGAGATATACTGTAGGTGCAGACGCATCCAGATTGAGACTTAGGATGAATGAAATACCTCATTAAGTTTTTATATTGACTCTGTGTTCAAAATCTATAACAGATCTAGTAGATTAAATCAAATATATTAAAATTAATTTCACTTGTTTCTTTTTAATATGGATACTAGGAACTTTAAAATTACTTGTTTGGCCTGCGTTATATTTCTGTGAGACAGCATGACTCACAGACATGATGCCTCTGGCCAGAACTGCCTTAATATAAAGGACTTGTAGTTCTTTAATACTTGGATGGGCCTACGACAGACCTTTGCTATAAATTCTTCCTGAATCAAATAGTTCAAGTCAGACGAGTGTATTAATTTGAACTTCTATTTAGACCAGCTCTGTTACTTTGGAGAAGTAGGTTATTTGCTCCGACCTTCAGTTTTCTCAGGTTGTGTAAAACTGGGGTATAAATGCCCTCTCTATAGGTTTATCAGTAGGATTAAATGAGATTATAGTATATGTGTGTCATGCCCATAGCACTTTCTTTGTACGTAACAAATGAAAATGTGCTAATCTTGTTAATTCTGATTATGTCAGTCAGTGGACCATTAGTTGAAAATTTGATTGCTACTGTGATACTGGAAGTTACATTGGTTACTACTGAGTTGCCAGAGAATTTAGAAGGGGAATTAGTACACAGTGGAAAGCAATTTTGAAGTCACCACATTATGTACTCAGGTTTTTTATCTTTTGTATTTTGGTTTTCTTAAAGTCAGATCAGTGGTGGTTATGGAACCCTGAAACCTGAGCAAATATGGGGCACCTAGACGGCTTAGTCGGTTAAGTGGCCAACTTTTGATTTCAGCTCAGGTCATGATCTCAGGGTCCTGGGATTGAGCTCCACATTGGGCTCTATGCTAGTGGGGAGTCTGCTTGAAGATATCTCTCCCTTTTCCATCCTGCACCCCTACTAGTGTGTGCACTTTCTCTCAAATGAATCTTTAAAAAAAAAAAAAGACTAGGTAAATATGAACAGCAAAATACAAAAGAGTAGTTGATGGAAACATGGGTTAAAAATTATAAGATCTAATAGATAAAATATACCTAGATATGTTCTGCTGCAGTCATACAAACATATTTCAAAGGATATTAAAATAGCTGAAACTCAGTTGTGGGAAATATGTTGAAATTGAATACTTTAGTACTCCAAGTGATAGTATAAAGCATTTTATTGTAATTTGAAGTCCTTTATCATCTGGGTGAGTTTAGTGGTTTTCCGTAATTACAGAATAATGAAAGCAGTATGTTACAGGTAGATGTTTAATGTTTTCTTCAACTGCCTGCTCTTACTTGAAATTACATCTGACTTGTCTGATCTCTGGTCATTTTTTTCTCCTTCCTCTTACTGTTCCGCTTTTCTCTCTTTATGATCATTCCCATGTCCTGTCTCTTATAGCTGTCACTACTCTGCTCTGCTCTAGCTCTGTGTTTTCTACAATTATAATCATCGGAGATTTAAATGTGGATTTGAATCCTGGCCACAGTCCATTTTAGATAATGTAATTTTTCCATGAAACATTTCTCTCTGTAAATTGAGGATAAACAGCTTTATTATAGAGCTTTGTGAAGATAAAGACCATGTATGTAAAGTGCCTAGCACAGAACCTGGTATCTAGTAGTAACAACGATGATGGTAATGACAAAGGAAGTTGCACTCCTGCTATGACAGCTACTGCTACTAGTAGTTGTAGTAGTTTAGTTATGATGATGGTTGTGATGATGTCTCAAACTCACCCTCTAACTTCCTGTCTTAGTCTAAAAACTTTTTAAGACTACATTTTTAAGACTACATTTCATGCTGCTTCTGTTTAAAAACTCTTTTATTTTTTGAGTGTTGCTTGCTTATTTACCCCAAAATTTTACCCTTGATCTTTTCAGTTAGTGAATGAATTATAACCTTTTCTTCGCTGGTCTTCATTTTATACTTTCTTTTTTCCCTAATATATTCTGTATTTCTATGCTAAACTAATCCCTTCATTACTACTGTGATACCAAACCTAAGCTCTGACCCTTTGAATGTGAGTGGTCAGCAGTTACTCTGATGATGTAAGCAGGAGCAAGATTATGAAGGCTCTTAAATTACAAGGTAATGAGTTTTAAACTTTATTTTGACCCAATGGGAATACCTTCAAAGGGTTTTGAGTGGAGGCATGTTTTAGAAAATCAGTTTTCATGCAGTTTGGAGAATGGTTTGAAGATTGAAAGCACAAAGACTGTTTAGGAGACTAATGATGTAATTGGACTCTACTTAATGTTTGTTTTTTGATTACCATAATGTTCTTAACTTTTAGACTTTTTGTCAAGAATTACAAAGATTTCAGCACATCTCTTTCTTACAGGTTGTTTTAATAAATTTTCAGTTTCAACATATTATCTTAAAACAAGTTAAAGCCTATACACATAGACTTGACACAGTTTAATTACATGTAGGAAATGTAAAACCATTTGAGGGATTCAGTTCTGACTTGAGTTAGCCATAATGAACAAAACTGTGGCCCAAGGGTAACTAATTCAGTAGTTTATTGACTTAGGAAGTTTTACAAGCAAAGCCAGCTGTATTCATGCCATTGATCTCCATGAACATTTGAGTTGATAGTATGAATTATGCTCTGTTGGGTGCTGAGGGTACAGAGAAGTACAAATAAAGGCATGGTTCCTCTTTTGAGACTTATGACTTACTTGGAAAAGCAAGACTGCTACATAAATTAGAAATAGCAAAGTGGTTTGTTTCTTACGTGGTAAATGAACTGTGTGTGGGCATTAGTAGTATTCTGGCTAGAATTGTTAGAAAAGTTTTTATGGAGGAAATAAAACTTGAGTGTATCCTAAAGGATACAATGGGACCCTTGGAAACTCCAAATGTGTTGCTGTCTTTGAGGGAATAATGTATAAATCTTACATAGTCTGGAAGATTGTCAGAAGGTGATATGTAATATGAGTCGTTTGGAGAAGTGAATTAGAGCTTTGAGAGCAAGGGCCCCCCCCCCCCCCCCGGCTTTACATTTGAAAGCAGTGAATCCTTAGCAGTTAAGCTCAGTAATCATATGTGATCATTTATTTGCCAAATACCTTTCAGGCTCTTTGGATTAGTAATATTTCCTAAGTGTCTATAATTAATTAATGAGTTTTCTGGCAAGTTACTTAAACACTATCAGCCTTAGTTTCCTTATCTGTATTAATGATCTTTTATGTAGTAAATAGCTCTCAAACTTGTGGGTAAATGACAAAACATCCAGCACAGTGCCAGATAAATAATAGTAGGAATTCTGTAAATATTAGTTTATCTTTCTTCTGTTCAGGATTGTTAGTATTTTCTTACTATTTCTAATTGCTTAACTCTCTTCGCGCTCAAAAGTCTAAAGGTTTCGTCTGTGGTTGTATATTAACATAGATTTTATTTTCTAAACATAGGAGATAACGTGCTTTCATTAAACTTCGCTCATCAAAATTAACTTAGTTTACTTTCTGTGATAATGTGAAAAGTAATTGTTTTATTGTCGTTTATTAGATCAAATCATGTAAATTGTCAATATGTCACTGTTATCTAAAAATCAGTAATTTCATGTGATTCAACCTAATATAACTCATGATGATAACTGGTATAACATAAAGTACTTATGTAGAATTTTCTTTCTTCATTTTCCTCTTTAAGATCCTGATAATTTAAGCGACTCTCTCTTTTCCGGTGATGAAGAAAATGCTGGGACTGAAGAAATAAAAAATGAGATAAATGGAAATTGGATTTCGGCATCCTCCATTAATGAAGCTAGAATTAATGCCAAGGCAAAAAGGCGCCTGAGGAAAAACTCATCCCGGGACTCTGGCAGAGGCGATTCAGTCAGTGATAATGGAAGTGAAGCCCTTCGAAGTGGAGTAACTGTACCAACCAGTCCAAAGGGAAGGTTGCTAGATAGGCGATCTAGATCTGGCAAAGGAAGGGGACTACCAAAGAAAGGTTGGTGTATTCCAAGTACAAAGAAGCAAGTAGAATAAAATATGGCCTGATACTTAAACTATGGTTTCCTTGTTCTAGGAATGTGAGAAATTTGAACATTGATAATGTAAGATTTTATGATTTGTGTATGTATTTACAGAGTAATAATCTGAGGACCATCACACTTTTTAAGTTGAGCTTTTTTTCTGGAGGAGATTGTTTTCTTGAGCAGAACTTTATTATTTTCAGCAAAATACACATGAATTTTTTGTACAGTTGTGAATTGTGCATTGTATTCTCTAACTTTGCTTGAAAGTAGGGTCAGAAATTCATCCTACCTGGGGGACCTAGCTGGCTCAGTCAGTGGAGTATGTCACTCTTGATCTTGGAGTCATGAGTTTGAGCCCCATATGGCAGGTAGAGATTACTTAATAAATAAAAGTTAAAAAAAATGCATTATATGTATTATCTAATGAATGTAATTATGCCCTTTGTTAAAAATATAGGATAAATATATATTGGATTGGTAATAAGTGGATCAGAATTTTAATGATTTCATAGATGGTTCTGAGTTCATGCATTCTTTTGTTCGTTTCTTTCTTTCTTTCCATTCATTCATTCATTCATTCATTCAATTTAATTAAAAGATCTTATTTTTTAAGTAATCTCTATACCTAACATGGGGCTAAAACTTGCAACCCTGAGATCAAGAGTTGCATGCTTTACCAAGTGAGCCAGTGAGGAGCCCCCAAGTACTCTTCAGTTCTTTCTTGGATACTGGAGTGGAATGATCCTTTTTTTTTTTTTTTTAAGATTATATTTATTTATTTTGAGAGAGAGAGAGAGAGAGCATGAGTAGGGGGAGGGGCAGAGGGAGAAAGAATCCTTAAGCAGACTCCCTGCTCAGTGAGGACCTGGATGTCCCAGGACCCCAGGATCATGACCTGACCAAAGGCAGACACTTAACCAAGGCACCTCAGGAATGGCCTATTTTTTCACTGCTATATTCAGTGCCTGGAGTAATGACTAGCAGTTGTAGATACTTAAGTATTTGTTGATGAGGAATGTTAGCTTTGGTCTGTGGTAGGATTTTGATATAATTTGAAGATTCCACAGCTTCTGAATGGTGTGAACTTCAATTTATAGCCTAGGATTCTTGTTAAATGTTTTTGTGGCCAGTCAAAAACTGTTATTTTATTGAATGGCTTTATAACCATTGGTTACATCAAAATGAATCCTAATAATCAGATTCTGCTTTGCTCTAGTCTTGATAGAAAAAAACCCTCAAAAAAATTGGTGATACTGAGGAGTTCCTTAAAAATAATGTAATGTATTATGCATTACAAAAATATTTCAGTAAGTTTATATAGAAAAACCACTTCGAAAGTTGGAATTGTTAAACTTCAGCTGGTTAGTTTGTAAATAGAGGTACAGAGAAATAATGATCAGTGCAGGTAATGCTTAAATAGCTTAGTTATTTGTAGCATACTGCCAGTTGTCAAGTATAGTTTAATGTGTACTATTCTGTTTATTTATTTATTTATTTAAAGATTTTATTTATTTGACAGACAGAGATCACAAGAAGGCAGAGAGGCAGGCAGAGAGAGAGAGGAAGGGAAGCAGGCTCCCTGCCGAGCAGAGAGTCCCATGCGGGACTCGATCCCAGGACCTGAAACCATGACCTGAGCCGAAGGCAGAGGCTTAACCCACTGAGCCACCCAGGCGCCCCTGTACTATTCTATTTAAAGGGTATTTGACTTTGAAACACTTAGAGTGGAAACTGTGCTTCTTTGTTAAGTAATTTCTCCCTTACTGATTTTCCTATGCCATATCTTATTGGCTCAAAATACGTCTTTTTGTTTTGGTATTATGAAATGTCAAATAAAATTTAGAGCTCAGCTACATTATCACACCCCTTGGAGTCCCTGATACACATATTTTTCTGATCTTGTTTTGTTTTATTTCTGCTTTCATTTTAAAGCATCTGCTTTTTTAGTTTTAACTTTATAAGCTATTTCAACTTGATGTTTTAGAAATAGGTTGTAAAATATATAATATCTAATCACTACTGAAAAAGCAGTGATCCAAAAAAAAAAAAAAAAAGGAAGTTTAAAGTATAATTCAACTGGAGAAAAAACTGGCATAGAAATTAAATGCAGTTTTTTAACTTAATTAATATCTAGAATTCAATTAAAATTTATGAACTGAACTTTGTGTTCTTTCTCAATTCTAAACTTTTTCAGGTGGTGCAGGAGGCAAAGGTGTCTGGGGTACACCTGGACAGGTATATGATGTGGAGGAGGTAGATGTGAAAGATCCTAACTATGATGATGACCAGGTATCAATGTTTTATTTTATTTTTTTAGTCTGTAAGTTTTTTGACTTCTTGTCTGTAGTTTACTCATACATTTGTCAAATTATACATTCTATATCTATACTCTGTGCCTGTCAAATCATGTATATATGATTTATAGCGTGTGTGTGTATAGATAAACACATAACGTGTGTGTATGTATATAAAAACATTAGTATTTATGTCTAAATCATACATATACTCAGTCCTTTTAGACTTTAAGGTAAATTTTGGATTAGGAAATCAAATTAACTGATAATGATATATGTGTAATTTTCATTTATGAGTCAAAAATAGTCTTTACAGATTTAGGATGATTGAATTTTTAAATTTTTATTTTTAGGTTTTATTTATTTGAGGCAGAGTTGGGGGGGCGGGGCAGAGGGAGAAGCCAGTTCGCTGCTGAGCAGCGAGCCCAATGTGGTTTTGATCTCAGGTCCCTGGGATCATTACCTGAGCTAAAGGCAGATGCTTAACCAACTAAGCCACTGAGGTGCCCCAGGTTGACTGTTTTTTTAAAAAATATTTATGAGAGAGAGAGAGAGAGAGACTGGGAAGGGAGCAGAGGGAGAGAATCTTCAAGCAGTCTCCCTGAGTGTAGAGCCCACCATGGGACTCAAACTCAAAACCCATGAGATCATGACCTGAACTGAAATCGAGTCAGATGCTTAACTGACTGAGCCACTTAGGCACCCCTAAGTAGACTGTTTTTCAATAAATTCTGTTAATATAATTTCTATAGTAATGATAATTGAGAAGAATATATGTTCTTTTGAACATCATTAAAGAGTTACAGATATTAGGCTTCTTTTAAAATACTAATATTTAGGATGGTAACTCTGTGGTAAATTTTATTTTGGGAACGTGACTATCTTTTTTCAATGTTAAGAATGTAAATTTTGTTTTTCTTATGCTGTGCCTTTTATTCCCATGATTTACACATTCCGTAACTGGAAGCCTGTATCTCCTACTCACCTTCACCAGTCTTGCCCCTCCCCTCTGGTAACTGTCAGTTTGTTCTCTGTGTTTACAGGTCTGATTCTTTTTTGTTTATTTGTTTTTGTTTTAGATTCCACATGAGTGAAGTTATGTGGTATTTGTCTTCCTCAGTCTCATTTCACTTAGGTTCATCCACGAGAATAAGTTTTTAATAGATTTTATAGTGAACATGTATATATTTATTTTTTAATGGAAAATTTTAAATTTATACAAAAGTGGAATAGTGTAATGAACATGCTTGTACTCCTCTCCCAGCTATACCAACTTTAGTAATTAATAACTCATGGTCAATCTTATTTAATCCTGTACCTCCATTTATTTTTCCTTTTGTATCACCCTGAATGCATAACACCCCCCCCCCCGATTATTTTGAAACAAATCCTGGACATTATGACATATTTTTTAAAGTACTCTCTTATAAGAGATAATACATGGTGATGAGAATTTTAGACAGGAAATTATCAGGGTGTATGTTATATTGTTTTTATTCCATATGATTGTATATACTTACCTATTTTAGCTAATTATTGGACATGGAAATATTTCTGAGAACAGGAAAAAATGTAGGATTCAAATACTATAGAATCATTGCAAAATAATCTTAACATACAGTCTTTCAAGTATATGTTGTTAGAAACTAATCACAAGGTGCATATCACCACTTCTGGGTGTTTTTGCAGAGGACAAATGGGATGGAAAATTGAGAGTAATCTTCCTTTTTTGAAATTTTAGCTGAATATTGCTTTTCTTTAGATATTTTTTATTTTTTTTAATTTTTAATTTTTTTTAAGATTTTATTTATTTATTTGACAGAGATCACAAGTAGGCAGAGAGGCAGGCAGAGAGAGAGAGAGAGAGGGAAGCAGGCTTCCCGCTGAGCAGAGAGCCCGATGCGGGACTCGATCCAAGGCCCCTGAGATCATGATCTGAGCCGAAGGCAGCGGCTTAACTCACTGAGCCACCCAGGCACCCTAGAGATTTTTTATTTTTTTAAATTAAAAAAAAATACTTTTATTTATTTATTTGATAGAGAGAGAGGAGAACATGAGCAGGGAGGAGAGAGGGAGAAGCAGGCTTATTGCCTGATGTGGGACTTGATCCCAGGACCTGGGCTGGGATCATGACCTGAGCCGAAAGGCAGATGCTTAACCAACTGAGCCATCCTGGCACCCTCAGAGAATTTTTTAGTCACTATGACATTGATTCTTATTATATAAGGACTTCTGTTACCATACTAAACATGAAGTCTATTTTTTAAATTTTATTTTTTATCGGTACTTTGGGAGAGAACACAAGCCGGGGGATGGGGGGAACAAATCGAGAGGGAGAAGCCATCTCTCCATTGAGCAGGGAGCCAGATGTGGGGTTTGATTCCAAGGACCCCGAGGTAATAAGATCACGACCAGAGCTGAAGGTAGACACACTCAACCGACTGAGCCACCCAGGTACCACCATCCATTTTTTTTTTAAAAGTGAAGTTTTTTGTTTTTTTTTTTTTTAAGACAGGATTCTTTTTTTTTTTTTTTTTTAAGATTTTATTTATTTATTTGACAGATGGAGATCACAAATAGGCAGAGAGGCAGGCAGAGAGAGAGGAGGCAGCAGGCTCCCTGCTGAGCAGAGAGCCCGATGTGGGACTCGATTCCAGGACCCTGGGATAATGACCTGAGCTGAAGGCAGAGGCTTTAACCCACTGAGCCACCCAGGCGCCCCTTTTAAAGTGAAGTTTTAATGAGAATACTAGGTATGACCTATAGGAAGCCATCTTAAAGCTTTTTGGTCAATGAAGGATTGGTTTTGTGAGAGAGATAAAAAATTAACAAAATATCAGGGGTTGTGGTTACTGGTTCTAATCTCTGTTATTTATTCAAATTTGTAAAAGAACAGTGACATAGATTCTGTTTTAGTATCAGTGATCAAAACATGTAACATATCTTTTTCTTGCCCTGAATGAGGGTGGAATAAAAAATTGGTTGGAATATAAAGTCAGAATACAAAATTAAAAACATAAAATTATATTTTATATTTAATTTTTAAGTTGGAATATAAAAAATATGTAATTTATATTTAAATTTTAAGTCAGAATATAAAATTAAAAACACAGAATTTTAGGGTCGCCTGGGTGGCTTAGTCAGTTAAATGTCCAACTCTTGATTTCAGCTCAGGTCATGATCTCACAGTTGTGAGATCAAACCTGCATCAGGGTCTTGCTGGGCATGGAGCCTACTTAAGATTCCTCTCTCTCCCCCACTCTGACCGCCCCCCCGTGCTCGCTTACTCTCTAAAAAAATAAAAATAAAAACATTTCAGTTTATATGAATATTTTGTTCATTAATCTATAAACTCACCTCCTTTCCCTTCTAGGAGAACTGTGTTTATGAAACTGTAGTTTTGCCTTTGGATGAAACAGCATTTGAGAAGACTTTAACACCAATCATACAAGAATATTTTGAGCATGGAGATACTAATGAAGTTGCGGTAGGTTTAAAATTGCAAGTATGATTTATCTAATATAGGAAAGAAAACACTATTAAAAGCAGAACATCCATCCGAAATGATCTTGGATCACTGAATTAAGTTTAAGCATTTTCTTTGGCGTAAATGAATTTCTAAGACATGGAGTAAAATTTCCTTAATACAGATTAGTTCTTTCCTACTTGGGATGTGATGAGGACTATATGCCATTTCTTTCCCTGAAAAATGGCACAGTAATATTTTAATAATTTTTGTAATTATATATTTTTGTAATTAAATTGTATAAAATTATAATAGTTTCTAGCATCTATGGATTTTCTCAAACCTCTTCCGGGATCTTGGTTAAAAATGTCTGATTTAATTCTGGTTTTTTTTGATGTTTATTTCCATGCTCAGGATTAAGATAAAATTTATCTTTGTGTTATGTCCAAGAAAGAGAACATGGATATAAAGATTTGAATAAGAATGTATACAGAAACCAAGAGAACAAATGTGTTTGTTTTTTCTTTCTTCTTTTTTTTTTTTTTTAATTGCAACTCTTTAAAAGGCTTTTACAATTTAGACTCTTAAACTTCAGACTGGCTTTCTTGGTTTGTCTGATACCATGAGGTCTGATATCCTTAGATTTGTAGGACTTAAATATAAAACAAATATTTGTTCAGTGCATACCATGTGAAGGAATTTGTAATAGGTGATTCCTTTATGAAGCTCAGTCAGGGAAGTGATATATATAATGTGAAGCCTTCTATTGTAGAGGAAGAGCTTAAGGCCTATAAGGGTAGACTATTAAAATCCTATCTAGCATGGGACTAGACGTATACTATGTATTTATTAACTGAGTAGTACTATAAGCAGAATGTTACGGAAGCATAAAATAGTAAGAGAAAAGATGATTCTGAGTTATATAAGAATGATTAGAAGTTTGACAGGGCAAGATGGTTGAAGACTTTTCCAGAGAAGTATCTTGTTTAAAAGCAGTGAGTTGGGGGCATCTGGGTGGCTCAGTTGTTAAGCGTCTGCCTTGGGCTAAGGTCATGAGCTTACTTACTTGAGGAGGGAGGTTCCTTACTTGGTGGGAAGCCTGCTTCTCCCTCTCCCACTCCCCTGCCTGTGTTCCCTCTCTCGCTTTCTCTCTCTCTGTCAAATAAATAAATCTTCCTTAAAAAAAAAAATAAAAGCAATGAGTTGTTCAAGCACAGTCCAGGAAAGAGGAAATTCAGTGGGAAGAGACTGCTAACAAGGACACCAGTTAGGTGGCTATGGAAATAGTTCTGGCACCCTTTTAGTAGTATAACATGGTTTAAGTACCCTGAGTATTTAAACCTGGCATCCTGTAAATAAAAAGGAAGGCCTTCTAAGTAACTGAGTTAGAAGTCTTGTAGGGTCAACTGACTATTCCACTTTCAACTTGGCCACTCCAGTTATGTCCTCAGTAAATACTTAATTTTGCTTTGGGTATGATGACAATACCTCCCTGAAAGGGTTGTTTTGAGTCTTAAATAAGATAATAAAAACTAAAGTGGCTGTTACAATGCTTGCTACATTATATACAGTAGTTAGTATTAGCAGCTGCTGTTATATTTTTAATAGGAAATTTCAACTTAATCCCAGCATTTAAAGAAATAATTCCACTTAAAAACAGTAGTTTAAGATCTCCTTTTAAACTTTATATGAACAGTATAAACCATAGTGGGAAGAGAAAACTGAGGAAAAGTAGAGTATAAACAATTTATAATAATGTAAAATGAATCTCACCAAAAATATTCATAGACGAATATTCCTAGAAATTAGGAACATCTGATAGGCTCAGTTGGAAGGGTAAGTGACTCTTGATCTTGGGGTCCTGAGTTTGAGCCCCATGTTGTGTATAGAGATTACTTAAATAGAAAAAAATTTAAAAAATTATAAGATGCAGGGTTAATTAATTCCTAACAACAAACTTATTTGCAATGTGTAGTTTAATTGTTTTAAGTGTAATTCATATTCTTCAGTTCAGTGATGTTCAGATAGTAAAAGCTTGACAGAGTTGATCAATACCTAATTTTATATGCACAGAAAGATGTGTTTTTTCTATCCTACAAAATTTGACTGCTTTTCTTACTATTACCAAATGGGAAAAAGGTAAGGATACATGGAAAAAATCTTGAATTTTTGAAAATAAAGTTATATTGAATTAAAGGCAGTGACATATACTTTTTAGTTTTAGTTTTTTTTTTTTTTTTAATAGGAAATGCTGAGAGATTTAAATCTTGGTGAAATGAAAAGTGGAGTACCAGTGTTGGCAGTGTCCTTGGCATTGGAGGGAAAGGCTAGTCATAGAGAAATGACATCTAAGCTTCTTTCTGACCTTTGTGGGACAGTAATGAGCACAAATGATGTAGAAAAATCATTTGACAAATTATTGAAGGATCTACCTGAATTGGCATTGGATACTCCTAGAGCACCACAGGTTTGTATGACTCTTCTTTTTATTCATTCTCTCCCCCACTATACTTCCAATTATAGACATAATTACATGCTCCTAGGAAATTTTAGTAGATAAAGAGGACAAAATGGCCCATATTTTTTACCACACAAAAATAGCCCTCTGTCATTTTAGTATATTTTTGTCTAGCTGTTCTTTTTCTTTTTCAAATGTAGTTTTCATCATACTATAATTTTATATCCCGCTTTCCACCCATGCTCTGTATAGTTTATAGGTCATTTTGTTTTTGCTGTCTGTATATTTTCTGTTATATGTGGTTAAGCTGTTATATGAGCTGTGATTTTAAAAATATGTAGATTGTTGTAATTGAAGATTGAATTGGCTTAACTGATGTTTTCTGTTCCCTTTTGTAGTTTTGTGGGTAAACAATTAGAAAATTAATGATTTATGTTTCTGTTTAGATTTTGTCCTCAAAGCCTTATACTTTTATTAGATTTAATACATGCTGATACTATAATGTGATTTTCTGGTTTGAAATTGAAAATGTGTGAAATCATTGGTATTTACTTAACCAACTTTTAAATCAAGGTAGGAGCACTTTACTTAAACGTTAATTTATGAATAGAGTATAGGTAGTTTAATTTGTAAATGCTTTTTCTGTTAACACTTTTCTTTGACAGACAGTAGTCTTTTATAAGGTATTGAGCAATGATTCAGACATTGACTTTTTTTTCTTTTTATAGCAGTACTCTTATATTTAAGAAATGATTACTTAAATACATATTATGGAATTTTTAAAAAATAAAGGTCAAAAGGAAGCAAGGCTGGCAAAAATAACCACTTGTAACATTTTGTTGTTAAATCTATTTTACTTTCTATGGATATATATCAGTGTATGGTTTTTACATATTCTTGCATTTTAATGAATTACATTGTATATTCTAATTTATAAACTTGATTTTTCTTAAACCATAAAATGTAAATGCATTTCCGAATGGCCATATAATGTACCATCTTACATATCTATCCTTTATTCTTGGACACTAAAGTCGTTTCCAGTTTTTTAAGAAATAATGCTATGAAAAGGAGTACTTTGCTGGTTCTGTTGGTGGAGCATAAGACTCTTGGTCTCAGGGTCGTGAGTTCAGGCCCCCACATTGGGTGTGGAGCCTGCTTTAATAATAACAACAACAAAAATAAGTAATGCTATGATATACTTTCAGACAGAAATTTCTACACAAAGTTTTCTCCATATAATAAATTCTTTTAATCATTTTTTGAGAACACCTAGTCCCATTTTTTTGTTTGTTTGTTTGTTCTCTTGAATTTAGGCCATTGGCTTAACAAGTAATTTTGATGATACACTGTTTCAGGCAGTGTGCAAAGGTGTTGGGGGATTAGAATGGAGCAGTGTGCCCCCGCCCATAGTACTCATCTTGAAGGGTAAGATGTAGGCGTGTAGTGTATGCTGAGCATAACTAGCAGGTGCTAAGTAGATGTCTTTGAATATTCCTTTATATCTTAGATACTGATTGTATAGTTCAGCCGTTCTTCATCATTTATGTGTTTAGAAATTGTGTCCTGTAAAGGTTCATTTTAGATTTTTTTATATAGATTTTTTTTTTTTTCTTATTGTAGTTGGTGGGCCAGTTTATTGCTAGAGCTGTTGGAGATGGAATTTTATGTAATACCTATATTGATAGTTACAAAGGAACTGTAGATTGTGTACAGGCTAGGTAAGTAAATTAATTTTTCTACTTAGAATTTTGAAAGGGGAAAATTCTGCAGGATTTTATTGAAATGACATTTGAATTACTCACATTGTAGATCTCTGTCATTTGTGTGCATTCTCTGCTGCTAAAACAAAATTGAGATTGTTGACGTGCTATAACAGGAAGAGGACAGTACTATAATGTAGAAGTTGGGGATTTTAGCTAAACCATTAGCTACCTTTATGTCACACCACTCTTCTCTGGGCCTCAGTTTCCTTATTTATAAAATGGAAGGATTGGACTGAGAATGTTTAAGGTCTGCCCAAGTTTTCATTCAGGAATTGCATTCTGCAACTATTTAATACTCTAGTAAGATGGACAGTATTAACAAAGGAGCCCATTTTAAATTTTATTTTATATTTATCTGCTACAGCAATATTAGGAAATAATGTTTTTTTACTCTTGTTCTTTGGTATAATTAATTTTAAGCTAAATGTAATATTTGGGAGTCATCCTGTATGATTTTTATAACTTTCTGGAAACTTCAATTTGGTCTTAGCCATATGTTAGGTTTTCTCAGGTGTAGGTGTTAATTTTCCTAGGACTACTCAGATCAGAGTGGAGTGGTTTCCCTGGTGGGAATGCATAGATCTATAGAAGTTAAGTTTTATGCGAAATGTTTCTCTTCAGTATAGATGAATTATTTTGTAATAAGGTTAGATTTCTGTTGACTAGAAAAGAAAATAAGAGTATGAGAATATTAACATGAAAAGCAAATTTTCTTTTTTTTTGCTCCTAGCTTTTTATTTTAAAAAGTAGTTTTTTAAAAGACTTTTGAATTTTAGGTTTCTTTTAGGTTACATGAAAGCTTTTAGGTCAGCCTCAATCATGTCCAAGTTGTCCAAGTTATTTATTGTTGTTATTTTTTTTTGGTAGAGCTGCTCTGGACAAGGCTACTGTACTCCTGAGTATGTCTAAAGGTGGAAAGCGCAAAGACAGTGTGTGGGGTTCTGGAGGTGGGCAGCAGTCTGTTAATCACCTTGTTAAAGAGGTAACAACTACTGGGTATTGTCTTTAATTTAATTTACATGTATTTCTCTAGGGGAGTAAACTATACCCTCTAGCTGGCATTTTTGCAGACAAAAATTAAGTTCAGGGGCACCTGGGTAGCTCAGTGGGTTAAAGCCTCTGCCTTGGGCTCAGGTCATGATCCCAGGGTCTTGGGATTGAGCCCCGCATCAGGCTCTCTGCTCAGAAGGGAGCCTGCTTCCCTTTCTCTCTTTCTGCCTGCCTCTCTGCCTACCTAGATCTCTGTCAAATAAATAAGTAAAATCTTAAAAAAAAAATTAAGTTCAGTCTTAAAGCTACAATGGAAAATTGGATAACCTTTATATATTTGGCTTTATACCCTAGTGCTTTAAATTATACATGAATTATATAATTGTTATTAAATTTTTAAGGTTTCCCTAACTTAAAAATAAGACTGAGTTAAGTTAAAAGGGCTTTCATAAGAAGGCTATGTTTGAACCTCAAAGGAATGTCTGAAGTCTTATATTGGTTTTTAAAATTTTTCAAATACTGTGAAAATAAGACTTTCTGTCTTGTAGTTATTCAGTAAATAACTACATTTTTAAATGAGTGGCTTGAAACTGGATACTCTCAGATCATAAGTTATGAGTTATGAACACTAGAGTAGAACAGAGTGGTAGATTTTTCTAAGGAAGGTCACTACCTGTATGCATGTTTTAAAAGTAAAAATAATCAAGATGCCAGATTTATTCTCTATGGATCTTTTTTTCTGGTAATAAAGTAATGTTCTATAACTGTAAGCCAGAAAAAGTATTTAATCTTAACTTGCAGATTGTTAAGAAAATTAGAAGATTTATAGCTCATGTGCTTCTGATTTTTGAGTATAATCTTTTCATGTGACTATAGTTTTGCTATTTAATCTTTTAATGATATGTGTACGTAGTTTGGGGTTTAAGGAGCTGAAAGTACAGATTTTTCACCAGTTTGCTTTTATATATCTTAAAGTAGGTAAGTTGGGGTTTGTAATGTCATGATTGCAACATCTGCTTTTAAAAATTTTTTCAAGTTGGAAAGATTGAGCTGTAAACACAGTGAAGATACCAAGGCATTTTGGCAAGAAAATGACATAAAAGGCATCTAAGTGGGAAAGGAAGAAGTAAAACTATCTCTATTTCCAGATGACATGATCTATATACAGGAAATCTGAATGAATCTATAAAAAAACAAAAACAAAAAACCAACTGTCAACTAATAAATGAATTCAGCAGGATTGTAGGGTATAAGATCAATATACAGTATTCAGTTATAGTTCTGTACACTAGCAATGAATGATATGAAGTGAAATTAGGAAACAATTGCTTTTACAATAGAATAAAAAACATTAATATACTTAGGAATAAATTTAACAAGAGAATTACAATTCTTTTATACCAAAAACTGTAAAACATTGTTGAAATAAATTAAGACCTAAATAAATAAAAAACTATCCAGATACCCTATATTTATGGATTGAAAGGTGTAAGATTGTTAAGATGGTAATACTGAGGGCACCTGGCTTTCTCAGTTGAAGGAACTTGCAATTCTTGATCTCAGGGTTGTGAGTCCGAGCCTCATGCTGGGGTAGAGATTACTTAAAAAAAAAAAAGATGGTAATACTATCCTAAAATCATTATTTTGAGAAACTGTCAAACTATTTTATATGAATTATCTCAAGCAAAAAACAGTCAAGATAAAAATCGAAGTAAAACTGCCAATATGAGTTTCAGGGTTGCATTATTTGGATATTCATTTATTTTTGCCTGGAAGGATGAGTTGGACAAAGAGGACTTTTAGAAATGTATACATATGTTTATAATTTATCTTTCTCAAGAAAATGCATTGAACCTAATGGGAAACATTTAAATACTTAAAGTTGTATAACAAAGTCACAAAACTCTAAATGATAAAATCTATTAAATATATTAATTTACATTTATAAAGTAAAAACACTTCAAATGCCATGCTTTAAATATTTACTTTCCTAAAGCAGAATAATAGGAATTATTCATTAGGATGTATTCTAGGGATCAAATTTTACTTTACCTTTCATGAAAGTACATTACAGAAGTTGAAGTCAAAGATACTTAAATGAGATTATTTAATTCAGTCAGTCAATATTCATTGATTGTGTACTAGATGCAAAAGTGATTTTAAAAGGCAGTGTATAGGGAAGAACATTCTTGTTGAAATTCTTGTGCTGGAAAACTTTTCCTCCTTTTCTCTGGAGCCATAGAGATTTATTTAAACAAGAAAGTCAAGTCTTGGGACACCTGGGTGGCTCAGTTGGTTGGACGACTGCTTTCTGCTCAGGTCATGATCCCGGAGTCCTGGGATCGAGTCCTGCATCGGGCTCCCAGCTCCACGGGGAGCCTGCTTCTCCCTCTGACCTTCTCCTCGCTCATGCTCTCTCTCACTGCCTCTCTCTCAAATAACTAGATAAAATCTTTAAAAAAAAAAAAAAGAAAAAAAGTCAAGTCTTGCTTCTTTAGCTACAACTAGAAGCTGAATTACTGATGTTTTAGATAATTGGTTTCAAATCCTTAGCTGTAGAGAAAAGAGAGAGTATATACATATTTTGCTCCGTCTCGTAAAGCTCTGTTATCATCACTTATTTTTTGGCTGCCAGTGCACTATTAAGGTCATCCTGATGGAAGTGAAAGTTTGTGATACTTCATTAAAAATCCATCTTGAGACTTTCAGTCAGTGCCCTCTAGTGGTCTTTAATATCCCTTGTTTTACAGTGAACATTGAAGCATTATGGTCACAACTCAGGCCATGTACATGTTGAGTCTATTCCTAGATCTGTGATTATTAAGACACACTAAAGTACTGCATTTTCTTTATAAATGAACTAGTTAAAAATTGAGAATGTATTTTTTTTGTGTGTGTGAATAAGTCATACTCTTATTTTTCAGAAGTGAAAATGACAAGGGGCAATTGGCCTTTGGAAAAGGCATATCGGGGTAATAAGAGAGTAATAATAGAGACAGTATCTAAGACTCAGTTATCACACAGTTCTCAAAGTCCAATTAAATAATAAGCTTTTAAGTAAAACAACAAAACAAAATAAAACAGAGTTACACAGAATCCACAAGGTGGTATTTGAAGAAGAAAAAGGAAAATCTGGAAATTCACATACTGAGAGTGCTCTATTGAAATCAAGAAAGCCCAAATCCCAAGGCAGGGTATCCAAGGTAAACTCAGTCTGCTCCCAACCATCTGAGGAAAAGAGATGGTGCAACTGCCACCTTGTATGAATAGCCATTTCTGGGGTTCCTTTTCCTCTTTCCCATCTGCTGGCTGAATGGAAAGGACTACATTTCGGTAAGATACAGGCTTTAGAAAACCAACTTCATTTCCAGTAAAACGTGTTTCACTGCCACCAAAATCCTTACAAGTTATGTTGGGTGCTGGAAAACAAGGAACATGAGCTGTGTAGTTTGTACAGTTAACTGGTTCTTGTGTAGCATCATTTATTTTTGGATCTATACAAATATATTGTTCCAGTTTGAGGTTCTTGCACTTAAGTGTCTCGTCCATACTGGTGGTGGTGATGGCAGCAGCTCTCCAAGGTCCTGTGGTGACTGACATGAACCATAGGACATGCAGGAGCCAGGTGGCTGCCGTCAGGGGTTTACTTTTTGATTATTAAAAAAATTTGTCATGATAGTGTTGTCTTGAGTCTATATGTTCTTACACAGCTATTTGTGACCTGCTTTGAGAATAAGTAAATCCTATCGACAAAAAGCACAGATTTTTTTTTTTTTTTTTTTTTAAATAGGAATTCTAGGGGCACCTTGGTTGCTCAGTCAGTTAAGCATCAGACTCTTGGTTTTGGCCCAGGTCGTGGTCTGGCAGTTGTGGGATGGAGCCCCACCTTGGGCTCTGTGCTTGGTTGGTGTGGAGTCTGCTTGAGAATCTTCCTCTCTCTCCTTCCCCCTCTGTGCACACATGTGTGCTCTCTCTAAAAATGAATGAAAATCTTTAAGAAGTAAATAAAAACTAAGAATTCTAACATATCTCGATTTTTAAATTTAATAGATTGATATGCTGCTGAAAGAGTATTTACTCTCTGGAGACATATCTGAAGCTGAACATTGCCTTAAGGAACTGGAAGTACCTCATTTTCACCATGAGCTTGTATATGAAGTAAGATTCCTTTGACATTCCACAGAGAATTATTAAGTGTTCCTTTTTGCACTACAGTGACTTAATGCTCTTTAATAGCATATCTTTTTTTTTTTAAATTTTAATATTAAGGGAGTAAGTTGTTTTTAATTTCTTATAGTGATTATAATTATATGTCAGACAAAAGGAATCTGATATATTTTAGGAGCACTTTCTTTATATGAATTAATGACCAAAGATTCATTCATTCGTTCAATTTTTAGGCCATTGTAATGGTTTTAGAGTCAACTGGAGAAAGTACATTTAAGATGATTTTGGATTTATTAAAATCTCTTTGGAAATCTTCTACCATTACTCTGGACCAAATGAAAAGAGTAAGTATAACATTATTTTGCATAATTCTTAGGCTTAAATATATAATACTTTAAATGTATAATGATTGAATAAAGATTATGAATTGTCAATGAAATGTTCTTTCAGGTATGTTTAATAATACTGTGCCTGTAGTTGTTTTTTTCTTTGTTTTTTTAAATGGTTGTGATTATGTTTGACCCCTTGTAGCCATTTCTTGAAAGTAACTCTTCAGTGGGTTTTTTAAAGATGTGATTGTTCTTCCTCAAGAGTTCTACTTTTAAGATATGAGAGATTCTGTTTTATATCTAGAAACAACATGATCTTTTAACAAATACACTTTAATTTATTCCTATTTAAAATATTAGTGAAGTTTTTACTTATCTTGTATTTTTTAATATTTTATTTATTTATTTGACAGAAACACAGTGAGAGAGGGAACACAGACAGGGGCAGAGGGAGAGGAAGAAGCAGGCTTCCTGCCTGTGTGGGGCTCAATCCCAGGACCCTGGGATTACGACCTGAGCCCAAGGCAGATGCTTAATGACTGAGTCACCCAGGCGCCCCTTGCCTTGTATTTTTAAAAAGTGTAATAAATGTATATAGAGAAGTAGATGAAGAAATGTGTCCAATGTCTGATATCTGCCTAAACTCTCTTGAGAGAACAATTTTAGAGAAAACATTCTATAACAAACATACCTGCTGTCTGTACTTTTCAAGGATCAGATCTGACTTCAGTCTAATTTTGTGAAGAGCTAAGGCCTTAAATGTAGCTTGATGACAGTGATAGGTTGTATGGCATTATGTATTTCATATGGGCTAACATTCTGTATATAATTTTGTTTTAGGGTTATGAGAGAATTTACAATGAAATTCCAGACATTAATCTGGATGTTCCACATTCATACTCTGTGCTTGAACGATTTGTAGAAGAATGTTTTCAGGCTGGAATAATTTCCAAACAACTCAGAGATCTTTGTCCTTCAAGGTACTTTATTACTTCTTTCACATAAGATACTGGCTAAGTGCTTGGAAAGCTAAGCTAATTTTCTATCATTCCAGAAGAATTCTGGAATTCTGTCAGAAAAATAACATCTCCCCTGAAGCTACTTAAGAGTGAAAATCATCTGTTTTGAGTTTATGGAAAAACAGGGACGAAACTTATTTTGCCCCCTTGTAAGTCTATACATGCCTACTTCATGAAGCCCTTGTTCACTGGAAGGAAACTAACTTTGTGTAATAGTTCTGTGTACCAGGCTCTGTTCTACATACTTGAAATATTATTTTAGAGTAGATACTAACACCAGTAAGATAAGAAAATTGAGGTTTAAGGAAGTGTGTGGTATACCTTTCCTAAAGTCACACATAATAGAGGCCAAGGATGAATCCAGACCTTTCCTGGCTCAAAGATCTAGGCTCATTCCTGTACTCCATGTAGCTTCCTTTTTCTCCTTCATGGAATGGACAATTAAGTCTAATTGAATCTTAACCTCATTGGAAAGTTGATGTGTGTGATTCTTTGAAGATAATACATTTGTACTACTGGGATCTAACTCTTTAGGAGTTGATGAGGTTTTTTGTGGTTAAAATAAAGTTTATAATGAAGATTATAAATAGGTCTAAATGTTAGTAATAGGTAAATTTGTGTATGTCTGCTTTATATACATTTTAAGTCTTCGTAATTTTTAATCCGAAAAAATTGCAAAGCTTTGTCTATTTTTATTGAAGTCGATTGTGAGAAATCTCAGAAAAAATAGTTGCTGGTAGTGTCTCTCTGTAAAGCTTAAAAGCCATTGATAGAGGAGGAAGAAGATAGGGTTTAATGACTTTGATTAAAAAAAGTGTGAAGATACAGATCTCTAAAAATATATATATAGACCTTTGCTTGGTGATGGCATCACTCATGTGCCAAGTGGTATACATCAGTAAATACTGCCAGCTTTGGTAAGGGTTCTTACTTACTGCTTTGTTTCCCATCTCCGTCTCCTAATATTATAGTCTGAAGCCTTTATATGCAGGAAAATGTAGCTGATTTCCACTTAATATGGAAAGGCACTAGCTTTTAAAATTTTTCAGCCTCTGTTCAGAAATCTAACTGGTCATTTCTCTTGTGGCTTTACTCTCAAGGATCAGTTGAGGAGATACCTAAAAGTACTTTGTTTGCCATTGAAGTGACTTTTTATCCTCTACCCATTAGCTTATTTGGGTGAAGCACACATTTGTGTGAGGTCTTGAGTGCTAGTGCATGTTAGTCAGAGAAAGAGGGCTAATCCTGAGCAAACTCTGTTTCCACTTTACTGCTTTAGGCTGCTGGTCAACTATTCCTCCTGGGTTGAAGCAAGGTGTCTTGAGTTTGAAATAGTAGGAATTCCAAAATGGAGCATAGACTGGAATTAATTGGATTCTGATTTGTTTTTCCATGTACAGGTTATGGCTTTTCTACATTTGAGAAGAAACTTAAAAAATTTTTTAAAAATGGACATTTTCATAGGTTCTGTAGCCCTAGTTTACACAATTCCAAGTTATGTTAGTGTTTCTTTGGCTCACTGTTCAGTTTTCAAATAATACTAATAACATAGTAGGAGTAAATATTAAAATTCTAAATAGCATGTTTGCTTTATATTTTAACTTATCAACATGACTCCATTTGGACAATGAACTTCAATAATTAAGCTTTTATTTAACTAAAAACTGCTTAGATTAGCAGTTCATTTGATTTGTTATATCCTAGGGTATATAGTAGGGAAAGCATCTTTCTCAAAGGAATTAGAGGTGTGCTCACTTTTTTTTTTTTATTTTTAAAGAGTAAAACCCTTCAAAACCATTAGGAACCCAAGGCTTTTTTGATTTTGATCTATAGTCAGAATTGGTATCTATTTACATGTTTGTGTTCTTTTCATTACAGGGGCAGAAAACGTTTTGTAAGTGAAGGAGACGGAGGTCGTCTTAAACCAGAGAGCTACTGAATATAAGAACTCTTACAGTCTTAGATGTTATTAAAAAAAATATAAATATATCTGAATTGTAAGAGTTGTTAGCACAGGTTTTTTGTTGCTTTTTTTTTTTTTTTGAAGCACTTGTTTTGGGTACAAGGCATTTCTGAAATTTTATAAACTTAAAATTTAAAGGGGAATTTTTAAGGAAGTGTTTTCCTTTTTATCTTTTCTTCTCTTTTTTTTTTTTTTTTTTTTTGAGGGTGTAAAGGAGGGACAGAAGAGTAACCACTTCTTAAGTGGAATATTCTCATAAGCTACCTTTTGTAAGTGCCATGTTTATGACCTAATCATTCCAAGTTTTGCATTGATGTCTGACTGCCACTCCTTTCTTTCAAGGACAGTGTTTTTGTAGTAAAATCACTGGTTTATACAAAGCTTTATTTAGGGGGTGAAGTTAAGCTGCTAAAACCCCATGTTGGCTGCTGCTGTTGGAATACTGTGCTTTGGGAGTTAAAAAAAAAAGTTATTTCTTTGTCTTAAAGAATTTTAAGAAAATGAGTTAGTCATAAGACTTATTCATTTTTCCAGGGAACATATTGATTGGTCTTAAAGACTAGACAGTTAAATAAATGGTGGCTGGAACATCTATTTTTCTACAAAACTGGAAAAATGAACCTGGTTCTAAAAGAATGTATGACAAAATAAAACATGTGAAGCAGTGTTGATTCTTTATTGGGAGTACCTATATCTTAGGTCTTTTTAAAAACTTATTTTACACAGCAAATTTTAAATCCTTTAAGAGAGTGTATTTGAACCTAGTCAATTTAACTTTGTTCTTTGCAAACTTTTAAATCAAAAGTATAATAGTAAATTCTTTTAATACTATCTGCGGGAAATGCATACATACTTGGTTTTTTGATCTTCTTTAAAGCCCAGTGAAATTTCTAAAATATAATACCTTCATTATCCTTAAGTTCTGTTACCAGTGTTTGTGTTATAAAAAAGTATTCTTCACAAACTCAAAAATTTTTACATTTATCCAGTGTCTAAGAAGATAGTATCTACCAATAAATAATAGTTCTCTAAAGAATGATCACATTTCTGACCTCTTTTGCAGAGCAAAACTCAGCAAGGCCTCAAGGTCTGTGCTAATTTAAATTGTCTATTATTGATTGTAGCAACCAGCCAAGAATTATATTCAGATTTACAAATATATTCTTAGGAATATGCCCATTATAGGTTTAGGCAGGCTTTTAGCACTAAAACCCCAAATTTAATGTTCATATTAGTCTCATGGGCTCTTTCAAGTCCATATTTTTTTTCTATTTTTAGGGTTTTAATTGTGTTTGATACCTGGATAAATAAAGGTAGCACGGTAATTTAGTCCTTAAAGTCAGTATCATGAAAAGCTCAGGGGACTACTTTATAAGTGAAGGTTTCTTAAAAATTAGATTTAAGAAATACAGTTTTGTCATTGCCAGGAGGACAGCTGATCAGGCAAAATAGCCTTAAATACGGGGCGCCTGGTGGCTCAGTGGGTTGAAGCCTCTGCCTTCGGCTCAGGTCATGATCCCGGCGTCCTGGGATGAGCCCCACCTCAGGCTCTCTGCTCAGCAGGGAGCCTGCTTCCCACCTCTCTCTCTCTCTCTGTCTACTTGTGAGCGCTCTCTGTCAAATAAATAAATAAAATCTTAAAAAAAAGCCTTAAATATGAAACACAAAATTCATAAACAAGTTTTAAAATTAGATGATGATGTAAAAGCACCAAAAACGTTTTGTACGAGATTAGAACGTATCTTCAAATTCAGTTTTTAATAAACATGTAAAGATTACCTGAATATAAAAGTTTCACTTAGTCACTTGTACCTATGAATGTTATCTATAAGACTCACAGTCATAGGAATAGTGAAACCGTAATTTATAGTTCTAAAAACTTGGGTAAAAGAAAAAAAAAACTATAAAATTTGGATTCAGTTTTTTAATTGCTCATGTTCAGTACAAACCAGAGGGTCTAAATTCACAAGTTTTGTTAGTCTTGGGTATTTTTATTTTATAAGCACTATCAGTTTTATTAAACACACCATCTTTAGCATACAGATGCAAATTATTGTCTAGCTATTATTAATAGTAAGGCAGAATATCCTGTAGAAGTGCTAAGTTACCATTCAGTGAGTTATTTGCTGTTGTTCCTTCTCTGCCACTTCTTGTTGGCGAATCGTATCCTGGGCTGCTTGCTGCATTTTCTCCAGTTTTTCCAGAGTCAGAGATTTTAAGGGCAAAAGTTTAGGTTTACACAGCACCATTGTGGTTACATCTTCCACTGACAACTGCCCTAAGTTTAAAAAGAAATGGTTTAGTGAGATGACCCAGTTGTACGGTGGTTTGGATTTGCAGCTAGAATGAGCATCTAACGACTTAATCCATTGTCAATGAAAGCTCTTGTTTTTAGTTATTTCAAATATATCAACATTTAATTCTAGGGAGTTTATAAGGATGACATTTTAAACTTCCTACCTAACATTCTAAGTTACCTGTGAGACATACAACATTTTGTATCAGGTGTTTAATTTGCAAAAAGATTTGGGAGAAATACATAGTGCATATGAATACGTACAGAGTAAAAGCATGGTATTAATATTTGTTAATATATAATATATAAGCATATAATTTAAATATATAATTAATATGAATATTCAAATATTAATATAAATGTTTAACTTATACCATCAGCATTTAACAATTGCTTGACTTAGGTTTCTTTTTCCCCACTTTCAGACCTTATTTAACATTAGTGAATTACACTTTTTTTTTTCTCTGACAATTTCATGTTTTTATCTGCAAATCTGAGTACAACTGGATTTCTAGGTCTAAGAAACAGTGCTTCATTTGTCATTTTTTTACTGGGGGGGGAAAGCAATGGATGAATTCTTTATAACCTACTCCTAAGAGAAACATAGTAATGATAAGTGCACAGTAAATGTGGCATACAGGATACAAAATACAATGTTTAGTACTGAGCCTGTTATATGCCATGCCTACTACTTTTTATTTTGGTCCCTATAATAGTCTGTGACCTAAGTATTTGTGATTTAGATACCTTGTTTTGGAAGAACTTCCCGGAACATTGACTTCACTTCCGCCATATCTGAATTGTTGGATACAGCTAAGTTTTTTCCTTCAATGAGAAATCAGTTATTAATATTCAAGAATGAATTTACAAAGCATATTGCTGGAGTATTTCCATTGTAGGTTAAGAACTAAAATAACAATTTCTATAAAGAACGAACTATTCAATCCTTGCATAATTATCCCATTAATTTCTTGTGCGTCTTTTCACTGAAACAAAGTTGAGAGAGTTCACGTAAGCATCTAGATCTTGTCAACATTCTTTAATCAGTGGAGGTGTTAATTTGTAAGGCTACATGTTCTAAATTTTTCCCCTTATGAAAAGTTAGGTAGGACTTCATTTTTTTAGACCTAATCACCTAATAGATATCGCTGAGGAAAACAGAAGCCTTTATGTGTGGCCCTTTGGTTCACTGATAGCATCTCCTAAATGGTGGATGATTTAAAAAAATTACCATTTGGGAAGTGTGGGGTAAGGCAGGTAGTTAGGAAAAAGGAGGAAGTAGGTAAATGTTTCCCTGACATTCCCACTTCTCAATAGCTAACATCTGGTTTCTACTTTAATCCCTTTGCTTTAATGACAAAAAGCATCCTAAGGATCAGTTACCTGGCTACACAGCTGACATTTGTAAGGAAGCAACACAAATGGGCGAAATTGGCTCTTGAACAGAAGTGAGAAGTTTGCTTTGAGTTTACTACTATCCTCTAATAACAGGGATAATATATGCTAAAGTGCCAGCAAATACCTTATCTTGAATATTTTGTTAAGATAATCAGCATATACCAACTGGCTGATGACATTTGTTTCCAGTGTTACATTCCAGATTACTGCTGTGCTGTATAGTCAGGGTGTTCTGGACTGTAATTTGTAGCATGATCCTTCTCCAAACACAGATGCTTCTCTAGACAGTCCCACCCCTTTTGTGATATTTCACCATAGTGATGCAACCTTACCATGTGCCTTTCACAACAGCACCAGAGAAGAAAGATTTACTATTATAAAGTGGTGATGCTGGCATGGTGCCTGTCTTTACCGCCCACTGCAAATTAATCAAGTGAAGCTGTTTCTGGTCTCAGTTATTCCTACTCTACTACACTTTGACATTTGTAATAAAATTTTCCTACTCTATCCACCAGGTCTCTTCTTGTTCAAATCCCTGTTCTGGAATATCTAAAATTCCTGAGGAAACTCTATCCGTTTTGCAGAACTTTGTCATCAAAATTTACTCTTACACTGCTCTTTCTGGGAGTGAAAATGAAATAGGGAGTGGACTGGGAATAAAGCATCTCATCACTAAGTGGAATCTGAGATAAGTGCAATATGCAGTTTTCTTAGAACACACTACTTCTGCCACGTTCTTTTCTTGTTACTTAGGCCTGCCAGTGGTACCCAGTGATCATTTCCTTTTTTTCCCCGACTGGATTATGTTGAAGGCTAATAGCATTGCAAATCCCTCATTAGTCTGAATACTGCTATAATAGAAAACAGCCTCTCCATTAAAATATCACAATGAAAATATTCAATAGGTCCTTATTTGGTGTAGATCTGATAGGATATGCTGCCAAAAGGGAGAATAGATACTACAGATGTTGACAAATATGAGGGAAATAACAGCTAAGAATTTTTGTATCACAAAATTTCTTACCAGCAAAACAGTGGATGAAATCTTAAATGTTTTATAGAGTAGCAACTGCAGCTACTCAGATCTGTCACTATCCTTTGCTTGCTCTCTCCTGTATCTCACATCCAAAATCTGGCTCCAGGAAAACAATGAAACTTGGTGCTCTACCAAAACTTAGTTTTCTCTCTCTCTCACTAAAGCTTCCATTGTTACTGCAAAGGGTGTGGGGCCAAAGGCCTGGTAGGGAGTGGGTTGGGTCTGGTGTGGGGAAGATGAGTGCTGGCAGTCACTTGCCTGGGTGGAGTGTCTGCTTTACTAGGGTTGGTTATTGTTCCTAGGCTCCCCCCCCCCCCCCCCC